CTGTGGCTCTAGACATTGCATTGGGTTTTATACGTGTACGCAATTAAATAAGGGTAATTAAAAGTTTGAAAATGTTTTACAAACACATTATGTTTTATCAGTATTTGTAGACATTGTTGCTGTTTATATTGTTGCTTTTAAGATAACATTAAAGCTAACAATAAAATAAACAAATCAAAATCACTTTCATCTTGGTAAGGAAATGTTTTCTATCTACCGTAGTTATGTTTGTGAGACTAAAAATATAACTGCGGTTACATTTCTAGTACCACGTCAAAATTACGAAAGTATGAGTGACATTAATAGGGACATGAGGGTAGGCTATATTAGGTATTATTACTATAAAGTCACCCTACCTTTAATCGACTACATACCTGTTGAGTCCTAATACTTGTTGTACAGATTTACCACTAAGTACGTAATATGCTGTATGCTGCGTGAATGTAGAGTGAGGAAAATTGTATATATTAAGTATAGAAAATATATTTAATTTTTATATAACTTTAGACCTAGTTAGACTTCGTAAAAATATCATCCACGTGGGCATCTCAGTCTTACTTATTTCAGCCGCCCTAAGCTTGTGAAATGATGAAAGATGTGTTTTAGTTAAAGGATGAGATAAGAATATCTTATATCATGGTTCTTATGCTGTAACTTCATGTCAATACATGTAAATATGTACCATCATAATTTAATTATATAATCCGGAATAGCAACACAAAAGTGCTCACGGGCGACAGTGATGTCTGTAGATGCTTGTTAGTGTATGGGTTGTGTCGAAAACTGCAGAATTGAGTTATTCAAGAAGGATATATTAAAGTTTCTTAAGGCTCGGCAACGCCCTCGTGACAACCCTAGTATTTCAGGTGTCCATAGGCTACGGCAATAGTCTATTACTAACAATTTACTATCAGGTGGATCGTCATTTGCCATTGCAATTTAATAAAAAACATATTTTATCGTTGGTTTTACGTTACATGTGATAAGAAAATATTGGTCTTCTTATAAGCTTCTATTTGGCTTTCTTTTTATATAATATGTCTTTCCGTCTAACCGTCTCTCCGGCTCACTTGTAATATATTGTTCAAACACTTGCTGGCATCCGATCGAGCTGAAAATTTGCATACGTTTGCGTAAGTCCAATGGCGTGTAATGTTATTGTGATTTTACTGCTTTTTATTTATATCTTGATATAATAGCCATTTTGAAAACTGCCTCATCGAACTGTTAAAATTTTCAACTTATTTTTGTCTTTTTTTATTATTAATTCTATAATTCTTAATTTCTGAAGGAAGTATTTAGTTACTTTGTTTTCTAAATATAAATTATGAATATTCCTTATTTATAGAAAATAACTAAATGCTTCAACCAACAATAGATCGAGGTACATTGTATATATATACATGTACACATAATGTAAAATGTGTACTTAATATATATTTTTACACACAACATGTAAAATACGACGTTAATCCAAAATTATTTGTTATGTAATGGTCAGTTATAAACTCGAATCTCCAAAGTTTCAAATTGAGTTAGACAACCGTATTGAGCCAGATAAACTAAATTACATCTCCTATTTGATTACCACAACAGGAAATTAAATTTGCATTTATAAGTTGTCTACACCGACAGTTTCTGTTATCGATTTACTGTTTAGTGCTTAAACTACGAACTTAGTTCTGCAACAATCATACTTACAAATAATATGAACAATCCCGTAGCGAGTCTGCAATAGTAAATCGTAAATCAGAACTATTGTTGAGCAATAAATGAGAATCGAACACAAGGGATGTTTGATTAAGGTTTATCTCGGTTAATTTACGGTTATTGTGGCGGTCGCTACTTCGCGAATAGGTGTCGGTTAGGACATGTTTCGTAGATATTATGCTGAATTTCCTATTGTTGGTGCTGTCATAGTCTGTGCCCGTAATAAACCAGTAAATTACATATTGTGTATTAGTACCTAAGGTTAAATTCAATTACACACAATATCAAATTGAGGTTAATTAAGAAAAGAGAGTTTTCATTGGAGTAGTTGTGACTTACTTAATTGAGTTCATTGAATAGTTTATTAGGATAATATGTACTAGAAACAACGTATATTCACGCCTTATTCGGAGAAACAATTAAATCTTACTTCTTGTCTTATTAAGTACATAGGAACACGATCAGGAAATATTTTCTTATTTATATGTGGAGTATTTTTATCAATATAATATGTAGTTACAGTGCTTAGCCTCTATCAGGTGAGTGAGATAATGTTATCTCAATTAATTACTATAGTAATTGGATTCACTTCTCACTTGTCTATATTATATACAATAATATTATAACAGCACTAATATCTAAATTATTAATTCCTAATCGTAACACTAAAAACGTAGAATACTAAACTTTTATCCTTCATTCTAGACAATTTAGTGCCTGTATTTCAAAAGTAGTGAGCCGGTTATTTATTTTAAAATTAGATCCCAATTATTAGTTTTGAAGATTCTATTTGTCATGTTGAGAGAATGTTACGTGATCAGACTTGGATTCGTGTAGGTCAAATAAATGTTAATAGAACTGTTCGGTAATTGATTGTAACAACAAAACTCACCCACCCATAGAAATGGTTGAAATTAGATTACAAATGGTAAAGATACATATTTGTCATAAGAATTAGATAGAGGAGGCAGTATAATAGAGTGTTTTTCTAAATATATACTTTCGTGGGACTCTATGTATTTCAGACAATGTATAGTTAATGTATAAGTAAATAGAATACTTATTTGAATAATAATTTAATAATAACTTGTTTAAATAAAAATTTTAACCTATGAATTTCATCCTTGTATTAAATAAATACTAAAAATATAACCACGAAATCCAAATTAAATGAGGTGCTGGAAAACTCCCTGCGTCCCCATTAAGTAGAATTGGCAAAAAGCGACAGAACAGGAATGTAAACACTTAAAACTTTCCTCGGAATACAGTTCCGCCGCTTCGCTGTAATAGAGGGCGCTGCTGGCAAACAAAAGCGTGCCGAGTTTTAGTTTGGGCCGCCATTTTGTCTGTTCGGTGTTTTAACCGTTTCCTACGTAATTCTAGAGCAAAATGGAACGGGCGCGTATGAAAGATGAATATGCAACGTCGACGTCGCCTCCGCCGCGCCGCCTCGCCGTCAACCGTCGCGCTCTGAAACGCATACAGACACGACCGAATGTAATTTATTGCCATCAGTGTTTGTTGTTTTATTTCGTATGTTACAGCTGAATAATAAAGACAGCTCAGACATTATTCAAATGAGGTTAATGTCTTGACTGTCATGTCTTGCCGGTTTTTGTATCATAATAATAAAAGATAAATATCTGAATGATCGATACAATGTTCAACTTTTGAGTCATTAGAGATTGTAATGTAAGTTTTATAATTAGTTAATTGTCTTACATGGATATATTTCTATATATTATTATCGTTATCGTTATCATTGTATTATACAGTACATAAATTTCCTGTCGAATACCCGCAAAAAAAATCGATAAAAGTGTCGGATAGTAGCCACTATGTATGTATTATAGAGAAGAGCAAAGTAAATTTTGTTATAACAAACTTTTTCACTATAAAACTAGTAGTAAATAACGAATGGAATTAAAATTTTACAATGAAGAATTGCAAAGAAATCTTCATTGTAATTTTTATAAAGACTTTAGGTTTTATAAGATAAATTTATTCGCATGAGAGTTGAGACGTTTTATATAAAACTGATAAAATAATTTTACTGAGATTTTAACTCTCTCTTTTGTTTTTCTATTCGATATGGTTATTCTACCATTAATTTTTTTATTAGGAATCTTTAAAATATTGTGGATATAGTAAGTAATAAATTATTTTACGATATAAACAACTAAACACACAACTATTTCATGAACAGTTACAAACACATATTGTAAGCAAACATAGTAGAATAGTTTTTTTAGTATTTGATGCGAACTGTTCCAATAGAACGTTATTTACCTTCATGTTGAGGATACAAAATGGCGGCGATAAAAAAATGCAATAACTGATGAATATAATAAAAAAAATTTATTTTATCAATTAAGATTTTTTTAGTTTTAAGAATTTAAGTAACAAATTAACAATTGTTAAACATTTCATAATGCATTCAATAAAAATTATTACCATTATCGCATGAGTAACCAAAATAATTTCTGTTATTAAAGAATAGATAGATGCGCAAATTCATTTCTATAGACGTAGACATTTCAGTTTTGCAATTATGTATGGCTTTAAGCGCTAGATATTCCCTCGGCAACAATTAAGGCACAAAACATGACGCTCATCATGTTTGGTAACGTTGCACAATAGAGTATGACGTTGGCAGACATCGCACAATATTATGCGCGTCAATTGTTTGTGCTGATTAAAGCAGTATGTAACTTTTATAATCAGTGAAGGCAGTTTTCTCATGTTTATAAGTAGAATTATTCGCCGAAGTCAAAAGAAGAAAAAAAAAGTAGAATTACCTAGGTAGACTCTGTAAAAAGTCTTCTGTGTTCCTGTATTTCTGTTTCCTGTTTATATATCATTTACATGTAGGACATTCAGGTGGGTTAGAACATGTTTGGCATTCTAAAGAAATAAAAAAAGGATCTAATACTGTGCTAACACTAACTTGTGTATTCTGAAAATTCTAGCTCAAAGAGAAAAAGGTGAAGTTCATTTAATTGGAGATACAAAATATTACTCATCATTTTCTATATCTTCGTAACATTCGTTTAGTTTTCGTGTATTATATAGTATATTTCGTAAAGATTCATTATTTTTTGTTAGGTGATAAGCTACTTTATAAAATGCTCACACTAGCTGGGTTGAACCATACATATACATTTAATATATAGCCATAACCACATGTAATAGTAGTATGTATACTTAGCAAATTCGAAATGAATTTTGGAAATTATGCATTGGTTATATAATTTGGTATTTAACTTGTAATTTTTTTTTATTATTATTAGAGTTACCTGACACACAACCAAATGTGCGAGCGCAGAAGAGTTGGTACTCCGTGGGGGACATGTTACGAGCGAACTGCACGTCTCCTCCAGCTGACCCATCTGCTAATCTTACCTGGCTCCTTAATGGTCAAGAGGTATTACTTTTTATAAAATTAAATTAATAAAAAATAAGCATTTTTGTGCTGTCCTTAATTTTCAGGAAATATTCGATAGTGTCAGAAAAATAAATTTCCATTTTGTTGTTTAAAGGTAAAAGGGCTCGATATCCCGCTGCACGACATATCGTATGTGCAAAAAAAACCTGTGATAACTGACACTTCGCTGGAAGATGCAAATAGAATTATATTCAGTCCATGGGACGCAATCTCAGGCTTCGAAGAGCCGGTGACCGACAACGTAATAGACATTCCGGGCAATATCGAAGGCATAGTGGGCATTCCCGACATTTATAGCAATCGGAAAAACAAGGAGGAAAGCGCCACCCGCATCACGCCGAGATCCGAGCAAATAGCAAATAAATTGAACATTAGTACAGAAGAAGAGAAATCTAATAAATCATCCTCGTTCAGCCAGCTTGTTATAAGAGTACAGTCTGTACATTTTCGCAAAGTAAGTAATATGTTTTTTTTCTTATCATTCTTTTTGTGACACATCGTATTTTCGTATAGATATTTAATATACTTACTACAGAGAAATATTATTTATTTATATACGATACGAATGAAAAAATATGAACGATGTATATATTTGAATATCAAAATATTTCATGATCATTTCAGTAGCTGGAACGTTACGTACGTAAATAAGTAACTATGTTATAAGTATTTCCAGTACATTTGTGTCCTAAAGCGATCAACACAGGTAGGTACTGTCGTATTATAAAAGAGTTTTGTTGGTATAACCTCAATTAAACAAGCTTTTGAAACATGTTACGCAGTACATATTCATGTTCATTATATACTCTAAGAGTACATATAATATAATATAAAATATTACTTTACTTCTACAAGCAATATAATATTGTTTGTATAATACCTATATATATTTAGTAATAATGAGAATAATTGTATTACGAAAAATTTAGCTATCATTACATTATAATAAAAGTAACAATAGATATATGGGTCAAATATTTTTGGAACCATATAGTATTATCTATTTATTTCGTGCATGTATTATTACTGTAACTGCTTAATATATATAATCTATCTATAAATTTCAAACATATATATTTGTAGCGTAGTTTACAGATGTTATAAACGAGTATAAGGAAAAAGTCCAATAAAATAACATACATTTATGTATACTTGCGATAAAGTTATGAAACAGTATTCAATACTTAGCTCTTTTGTTTCTTCACCGAGTAATCAAAAAAGTAAGACAAAAAGATATTTTAGAATTTCACGCACAGTTATTATCCAGAAGATCGAAGGCTATTTTTATTGTAATCGGAGGCTATTTTTATTGTAAAATAATATCCTAATAATAATAGTATTAAACAAGACATAATTCTGGCATTAAACTCTCCCGAAGGTAAACTAAAACATAGTGATTTTATTTTTTATAACTAAATATTGGGAATTACTGGGATACTTAATTGGAAATTACACTCAGCAAGAGTGAACAAAAAACAAAAAGAGATGTACAGAAAGTAATTCCCAATAGTTATGATATATAAAAATTCAATATTTTATAATCGAATGTATTCTCTTGTCACGCAAAACAAGACGATTGTTATGGTGTAGACATTAAACAATTATATTAAACTGACTATATTTAGAGCAACAGGTTTTTTATGTTTTTAGAGCAGTAGTTTTTTTTCGACCAAACCTTTTCCATCAACTATATATTTCAAACACTAGGGGCGTTTTGAGGAAGTTTACTTTAGGACAATTGGACATATTACCTGTATTTATTATAATCTATCAATTTTTTTATGTAGGGTCGATTAAATGTGACCTGTGTGGCACGTGTACTATCGGTATGGTCGGCCAGCGGAGTGCTTCTTCTCGACGAGGAACGACCACAGATTGCTCCAGTCATGGGCAGCCGGGACTCCAACTCAGGTAATTAGGTTAAATTATAAATGCATTTAATGATAGTTTAAAGAGGACGATAGAAGAGATGATGAAAAGAAAAATAAAATAGGAAGTAGGAATATATGCAAAGAAGAATTATTTTATATCGTTTGAGATATGAGTTTGTTTATTAATATAATAGCGAAGAAGCTAACGGCCTGCTTGTGAAAAGTAATAACGGTAGACCATATAATGTAACGTCTCTATTCCTTATGCAATGACTAAGATGTCATACTTCCGTACCTTCTAAATTTACTGCCATTACTTTCAAAACGGAAACATGTAGCTTCATGGCTAAAAGGTACGTGTAAAAGGTAAGCATGCATTTTCTAAATATATTTTTTTCAAGTACAGTTATATTTTGTACAAATTATACGTTGCACTTCAATGAAATTAATAATTTATGTAAATGATATTTCCGAGTATATGTATTGTTATTAATTGAGGCTTATATTATTATTGGTAACTCTATCCGTCCATCGCATTACGTATTTGTACAGTATATTTAATTTATTCGTTTAAACTATATGTACTTAAACATACAATAAGTGGTATTCAAGTTTTATTTAGATCATGGTACCCAATAATATTGCGAGTTCATAACATATTTACTCACGAATATTCTACGATAGCTACAAATATCGGGGGATCACGATCAATGGAGAGGGTTCAATTAGATATAGAATTTCATGTTACGTTACCTCTGTCATGAAATGAACCAATACTTATCGCACGATGTCACGCCGGTTACCGATGTCACGAGCTCCCGGGACGCTTGTCACATAATGTAGTGAATACGTGTCAGAAATAAATATTTTAATGTTCTCTGTCGTTGACGCTATTTCGTTGTTCATCTGTCCATTTATGTGTGTATTTATTTAAAAATCAAATAAAAATATCCTCAAATATTTCAAGAAACAACAGAAGCTGTATAAAATAACAATACGATTGTCATTGGGTTTAATCTAAATCACGTACTTAAAAATAATTTAAAGTATTTTATATTCATGTTATGATTAAACTATACGCTGTGGGCAAGTTGATATACTATAAATACATAATTAGGAATGTTTAAAAAAAATATATTATGCTAATAAATTGTCAAAAAGATTTAACAATATTGATTTTGCATATTGCCTTGAAAACTAAATGTCCGCTTTGTAAATGACTATGTTTTGGTTAGAAGGTAACCTTATTTACTTATATTCGGCAAAGATGTGCTAACAGGACGATTTACCGATCTTCGTATAAACAGGCGACAGTTACTACTTAGGTACTAAAAATTAGTGTTAATGTGATCATTTAAATACATAATTATATCAATAATTTTTTTAATACATGTTTCCTTCTTTTATTTATACATCGGATCATTTTGGTTTGAGTAATGTAATAAACGATAAAAACCTCAAGCGAAAACTTTATGCCCGTGGTACCTAACCTCGGGTGTTATAAACTTTTCGCTTGAGGCATTATAGTCTCTAAAGGAGGCCCTGAGCGTGTAATGCTGATATGTGTTTGTTGTTATAGGTCCCCAGCGCGGTACCACGCACGTCGGCGCTTTAGCGTTGCTTCATTGTATATTTTATAGACATTGGTAAGTAATTATGGTAATACTAGTTTCTGTCTGCGACTTTCATTGTGGTTACCTTTTTATACCTTCTTATGCCGCGGCTCATCTGTTTGCTATAAAATTAAGGACACTCGTAGTGTTTTAGATTGAGATTATTTTCATGCTTTATAAACAATATATACGTGATATATAATAATAGAATTTAAGATAATATAATCATAGTCTTGAATACTACGAGTGTGCAAAATTTTATGGTAAATAGTTAAAACGCGAAGGCATAAAAAGGTAATCAATAGTCATAGTTATTACCATTTCATAAAATTTAAGATTTTATTAGAGTTATGTTCACGTAGTCCTTTTTGTTACTCTCTAATTTTTGGTAAACTTTAAGAATCAAACGTACGAATATTCGTAAGTTTGATTCTTAAAGATTACTAAAAACTACCTCGTATATTGTACTTAATAAACTAGTAGCTATCCATGAATATTGCTGCTTTTTGAAAGAAAATATTATCTATATCCACCGTGACATACTCGTATAGATAATTTATATTAATTAATTAATTTAATTTATATATTCATATAAAATTTCATTAGGATTTAGTTAGTATAGTTTAATCATGATTAGTGAATTAATAGACAGACAGAAACTTTCCTTAATAATATTAGTATGGAATCTTAAACGGTATTTTTTATTTCAGGTCCAACCGATGATCAGAAGACTAAGAAAACATGATAAACTGTCATTTTCTTATCTAAAATCCGTGTTAGACTTATAAAAAGTTTAGTGAAAAGTTTATGAACAAGCTGATAAAGGTGTTTTATCAGCAATGTGAGTTGAATGTAGTGAATTTTATACTTGTAAATAGTTAGGTTTATATTAGACTACAACTTCTATGAGAAATAGTGATGTTTTTGCTTGATGAACTTTATGTACGTACATAACTGTTACTTCAACATAAGAACCATAAGAATAAAGGTAATCCCTGTTTTCTATGCACTGTTTTATTTAAATCTTTTATATTTACATGCTAAAATCAATCTATATCTACTTATTTTTAACCTTCTGGGTTTAGTATACAAATGTAACTAAGTAATCGGGTATTATGTAATAATTATAGGTAGTTGCAAAACAAAAGATATGCTACCCTAATACCTTAAGAATTTAGTAAGAAATATCAGAGATTATTACTAAGAGAAATTGTACAGATATGTACTGTACCTACTTTCTTACCCAGTAAAAACTAAAATTCTATGAAATTCTCGAATAACTTAAAATTTTGCTGTCTTGGAAATCTTTGTTATCTATTCAGTTACGTAGGTAAAGTTACTTGTGAAACTCACCCACCTAGTTACGTACTTACGAACCCGTCCGATTGATAATGGGTAACTGTTATTTACAAACGACATCAGACGGTTCGTACCGTCTGATGTCTTTTGTCGGTATCTTCTATATGCTGTTTTTCTTGAGGAGTAGGGTGGTGTACACTTTTAAGTCCATTAAAATCTAAACATATATTTGGTAGCACAAATAATAGAGATGCTTATATGAGTATGTTCTTGCAATTTAAGACAATATTACCTTCTCATGTTTGATATCACATTGTATTTATGTGAATTACTTAATATTTCGATATTCAGGTTCTTATCTAATTCAGTAGGTACGTAAGTTCCTTACCATTTAGTTTGTTCGTAAAAATGTATCGTAATTATGTTTTCATACTAAAAATAAAATCGATATAATTTAAATATACCTATTATTATAGATACTTGTTATTCCTTGTGATTATTTATATATATTAAATTCAATACTAGGAAATAGCATAAGCATCGATATATCATAATAAGCGCCGCGGACAGCAGAATGAGATCTATTTGCATGATAGAACACCGGCATACATTATTGCAATGGTGGACTCTCGTTCAATACTGCATTTATTTTCGATATGACATATTAATGACATTGGATTATAAATATAGGCATATGTATATATATATATATATATATATATATATATATATATATATATATATTTTGTATTTTTATTGAGTGGCTCGCCTTGCAGTTGCATTCGAATACACGCAGTATAATATGTAAATTTTTTAATATATCTTTTTACTGTCAAAAATTGCCAGAGGCATTGACCACATCTATTGTAGGAGTCGTGATATTATAGTTTGAAAGAAATAAATCTCATGGTGAATACCTTAAAAACCATATGTATATTGTTAGTTACCTTTTCTGTGATTATTAATTAAAGTTCAAACTGCATGATACTCAGCGGAGGTTTTTCCACATATTTTCCGATTCCATAAAAATAAATTGTATAATTTTCGATGGGGTAGTCCCAGCCTATTGCTGTTGAGATTAAGGTAGCCTTCGACATCTCCAGATTTTATACTGCATTTTACCAACATAGCAAAGCAGACGGGGTGAGTGAATCAAAAGATTTATTTGGTTGTGTCTACATTGATTTTATGTATATATATTAGAAATATTATATAAAGTTTTAGTAACCTTCATTATATAGTATTATGATGTCCTAATTTATAATTAATTTATTAATAGCCAGCAATAAATAACAATGTAACATGAAGCATTACTTATGTTGTCATTTAATCTTAAAAAATTATTATATGTACGAGTATATAGACTGTGATACTCGTCGAACGATGTCGTTGTCGAACTATGATCATTACGGTCTTAGTCGGAGTAGTAAGTATTATTTTCAAATCATAAAGTCAAAAATGTATTATGTATTTCGCATATTCAAAGGCACATTAAATGAAGTATAAAAATAAGTATGTAAAATTCCATAGAGATCTATTTAGAACTTTTTTATAGACTGGTCACTTAGTTTTAATAATAAAAAAAAAGGTAAAGAGGTAGATTGAAAAACAGGGACGAACATAAACATAAGTTACCTATATAATGTCATCGTAAATTCGATATAGCAGGTACTGTGCTAGATGGAGCATTATTTTTTTATAAGGGTCTGTATGTAATGTATCCTGTGTTACAGGCAGCTATCAAATGAAAAGTATTGATGAGTACAATATAAAAAATATTTTATTTATTCATTGATTCAGGATCCCGTTATATACGTTCATGTTTTTTTTATTATCTCATGACACAAACGTCAGTAACTAAATTCAAGTTACTTGCGTTTGGTTTACTTCATTTTGCGTTGTTTAATCGATTGATATTTATTAAACTAAGTTTATCGTTCTAAGTAACTAAGTTTTTTACTATATGATTTAAAAGTTGTTACAGTTTGTCTCAAGCAAAAGTCAGGCTATAGTTGACCTGACTTGCTTGAGACGAACAAGCATGTTTCTCGAGAAAAAACAGTAAAATGTATGTATACCATAAATAAATTTAACAATTGCAAGAATTGCTACTCCAATAAGCAAGTACGTATTATCTAGTTAGAGAAACTAATTTTAAAGGAATTTATACCAAATTTTCAACTTTCAGGTTTCAACAATGTAGGTCAATTTAAATAAATATGGCATCAATAAACTATTTATTTTTAATAAAAAATATAAAAAATCATTTTTACAGTTTATTAAATTCAGATTTTAATATCATAATACATTTATTCAAATGTGCACTTTTAAACTAACTACTCTTGACTGGGAATAATGTATGAAACATTGAAATTCACCAAGATAAAAAATCGTCTGTCTTTTTGTCATATCAATTATAATATAATTGATATGACAATAATGATTTTATTGTTATTATTGTTGTTGTATTATTATGGACAATTATATTAATTAGAGGATCTTATATATAAATTATATGATGAGTGATTTCCATTCAGGTGCCAATTTTTATTTAATATACAGATTGTTTCTTTTTCTCATGTCAAAAACTAAGTATCGAATAGTTTAACAAATATAAATAATATTTTATAACCATGCTCGGGAATTTAATGAACTTCCTATGTTTTCTTCTTTAGCGACAAATATTTTAAAATCATCCGGAAGTGTTATTCACTGTAATAGTGCGGCGCTTCCGTTACAGTTTTAGTCCATTAAATTCGGGTACACTGTTATAAAATATTAGTGCAAAATGAACATAAATTTTAAAAGATATATATACACTATAAATAAATTTTACAATTGGAAGAATTGCTACTCCAATAAGCAAGTACGTATTATCTAGTTAGAGAAACTAATTTTAAAGGAGTTTATACCAAATTTTCAACTTTCAGGTTTCAACAATGTACGTCAATTTTCAGTCCCAGTACCTCTAATTTAACTTTGTAAGGATGGGCAAAGTGAAAACAAAGTTTCTAGTTTGACCGTGGGTACAACTCACCACTTAGGAGGCCTACGTAATAAATTTTGCAGGAATTTGAAATGAATTAGTATGTAATTATAATTCTATTTTATTGTGTTTAAAATAATTGAATGGACTGAATATATATAATTACAACTAATTTGTCGTCATGATACTCACCCATAATCTAGTCATGATACATGACCTCATAAGGGTTTTCAATGTAAATTCTAGTAATGTTATAAATATACACAATATTTTCTTTCTTCAATATTGTGTTTAACGTCGTAGTGTAATGGTTAACCACGACATACACCCCTCTTGGGCGTAAGTCGTGGTTAACCATTACTATATTAGTAGTGACTCTAAATCTTGCCGGCATAAAAAAATCATTGTGTCAACATTCTTCTGATTGACTATTCAATGAAGGAAACGACTATATCAAACTAAAAAAATAATCTAAGAGACAATGGTAAGTAAGTATTTTTAGATATCATAATGACATCGATAGTTAAAGTCGACTCTAGTAAACCATCTATGCTAACATTTGAGTTACTATTACGTTTAATTACTAAGTAAGAATTACAGGAGAAACCTCTAACTAATACAAAAAGAATCATAAGAAATAGAGTAGTTTTTCAACGTCCGTGTATCGAAAGATGACTACAATCTGAATGATTATATAGAATCACATTTTCTTTAACGTTGCCATTGTAGTGTATTTAGCAATGAGCTATAGTTCAATTTTATATTTTATATATAAAACTCTATGAGATGGGGGTGATATTTTTGCCCGTCTAATATTCAATTTCAATGCAAAAGAGAAAACAGTCATACCACCATTTCAAATCAACTGTTAAATTTCATATATTTTTTATTACTTCTTGTGGTGGTATATATTGATTGTACTTGATAGATACAACAAGTACTTTAAGAATTTATGAAAAAAATTAGCTATAACGTTCAAAATGCGTTAACACAATTAGTCCCATTAAACCTCTATGCTTTATTCTTCGGCTATTGGGTAGCTAATGCACTAATTTTATTACGTACTTCCACCAAAACGAAAGTAGATACAATTCATAGTATATACATAGTATTAGACAAAATGGACATAAAAGTACGAGGAAGCTGGAGTACTTAGTTACAAAGCGATTGCGAAACACCAGCGTTGGTAGAGCTATGGCCGTATTCTGATCAATAACATCGATACTTCTTCTCGTAAAAGGAATGTGAAGCATAGTCGCAGATCACTTTACAGTGGAAAGGTACTGAGTAACTATCGGCAAAGCAAACTTGAGCTTAACCTGAGCTTCATTTTAGCAATATCAGGCTCTAAACCTTTGTTGGTGGATTCGAGTTATCAGCCGGAACAACATTTGAAAGCGGTGGGAGCAAAGTTTAGTGCATAATATTTTTGTACTAGAAAACATATAATAACATGCTGACTTTTCTTTTATCTAACAAATTATCGTAAACTAAAACACTCTCTGATCTAGCATATTCTCTTATAAATATTAATTACGTCAGTAAATGGCAGTTTAATGAAAACTAAATAAATAGGATTTTTGTATATTTTTAAATCAAATTGGGCTTGCTATATATTGTAGATATGTTGCCGTAAACAGATTTATTAAATTGATATCCTAACTTC